AGAAGTGCTCAGTGAATGTCAGTAGAGCTTTGAAATGAAGATTTTTTTGTTTCAGAACAGCTATGATTGCATCTTTGGATTGGGTTAGCTGGGAAAGGGTAGAAGCCACTGGAGGCAGGCGTCATAGTGCTGGAATTTCTGGAAGGTGAGGATGGAAACATTTTGAGTTTAGTTCTGTTTAAACCTGTTTGAAATGTGGTGACTGAATTCACATGCGAAGATTGCTCCAGGAGCAGAGGGAGGAGGAGGAGACTCTGTGCTTCTGGATGATGAAAACAAAGAACTTAGAAATGCCAGCGCAGGGATCTCTGTCTCATTCCTCATCTAATAGGAGAAATACGGTCTGAACACAGAAGTGAATCTTCAGCAGGGTAAAAGTCTAAAAAGAAGTTGGCACTGCTAAATAATATTTGCTGTCTGAATACTGTTTTTATACACCGGGCTGACAGGCCTTGGTTGGTGCCGATGTTGGGAAGCTGCTTCTGCTGCTGCGGAGCAGAACTGAGCTGCGTCTCCCAGTTCCTGGCAGCAGAAGGTGAGCAGGGGAGCCCTGCCCCGAGTGTGGGGAATCCCTGCAAGTTGGCTTTGCTTATGAGGATCTGCAGTGCCCTGACTGCAGCCACAGCCTGGGATTGAGGTATTTCTCGTAGGATCATAGAATGTCAGGTTGGAGAGGGCCTTGAAGATCTCGGCAGGGTTCTGCTGTCCCCATTGGCTGCCCATGGCAGTTACAGATCTGGATGGCTAATACCTGCATGATAAAATGAAGTGCCTTTTGTTTTCTGTTGCTTTGCACTTCTTTGTGCTTCATAATAGCACAGGAGATGTTCTTCTGAAAGGGTCTAGACAACTCAGGAATTACTTCTGCTGGGAACTTTGGAGGCCGTGGAATTACAGCACTCCATTTTCCTACATTCAAAGTGCATATTAAAGAAATGTGATTCCCAGGAGAACTCAAAGGCAGCTCTTTGTGTATAAAATACTTTAAAAATATATCACAGTTGATGATGTGTTAGTAAGCGTTTGGGAAAAGCTGTGTTTTTCTAATTCAGCTCTGCTCTGCAGTGGCTCTGTGCCCCCTACTCATTCTTTTGAGACATAAATTGCAGAACAGTGCAATTACTTTCCTGATTATACTTTATCTTCCCTTACCGAGGTATTAAAGAGGAACCAGGGAGCATATTATAAAACATACAGGCCTTTGAAATCTTGATTCCCTTAAAACAATTGCAGGAAAACTCAATCTTACAATTACCTGAGTGTCCAAAATCATTTGTCAGATCTCCCAAGCCCTTCACAGTCTTTTTCCTTGTCTGTGGTGCCTGGAGCTGTGTCAGCCCATTGCCAGTTTCTCATCTCAGACATGAGTTGATTTAAACAAAATATCTCCAAAGGTTTTGATGTGAGGGACTTGGAGAAGTGCTGGGGTGGGAGTTCTGGGCAGTTCTGTTGGAATCCTTTCGGTTTTGTTGCTGCAGTGAAGGATCAATGTATTCTAATGCATCAACTGCCAGGTTGCCTTTTGTAGCAAGGCTTCAACTGGAAATTAGTTCCAGGAGGAAGAAAATGGTGTATTAAAACCAGTAGCCTAAAGCCAGCACGCCAGCCTCTTCACGTTCCTTCTATGCCTGTTGTGCTCAGTGCCCTGTGTGCCTTAAGCTCCAGCTGTCCCCAGCTCCGCCTGCAAAGCTTTGAGAGGAAACTCCCTTAATAGATAGTAGAAGAATCTATCATCTGTATCTCAGTACTTCTGGAAATTGTTTCATTTGTTTGTTTTTAGGGTCTATAGAGAAGATAAGCAGGTTTTCTCAGTATCTCTGGGGTCAGCGAAGCATCGTGTAACGGCTGCCTCTCAAACTGCAGAAACCTTCTGCATTGAATCTCCTGGGTGATAATCTGTTATCCGGTCTGTCCCACAGTGATGGATGAGAGTTGTCTTCCCTGCAAGTTGGGAATACGTTGTGTATTTTGAGGAACACAGAGCAAACTTTATGAACAGCACTCAGAAAAGAAAAACCCTCTTTATAATGTCAGAGATGAAACCAATGGGAAGTTATAGTACTTGAATTCACTCAAAGCAGGCAATTATGCAACAAATTCCACAAACGTTGTTCTCTTTTAGTTTCTGCTCTAAGAAGTGGTGGTTGTATTACATAGAAACCAGCACTCCTGAAGGGAGTTTTTCTCCCTTTTATTTTTCTAGCAGGGAGTAGAGTTGCAAAACTTCCCCTCAGCTCAGAGGTATTTCTCCAAATGACGTATTTTCAGCTGTGGTCATTGGTGGTTTGGAAGGCACTGCCATTGAGATTTAGCCTTGAGCTGTTGGTTCCTGTCCTCTCTTTGTCCTGGTGTTTTCCAGCCCCTTAGGAGCTGGAAATGCTTTTCTTAGCATTTCTGTGCTGCTTGTCTGCCACAATATTGGAGCTAGAAAAGCCTTTCTTGTTTCAGCTCTGTGTTTGTGCTAATTCCAAAAGCAGTCATGAAAAAGGCTGGTGGAACAAACAATAGCTGATTTACTTGGTTAATTTAAATGGCACAGAGTGGGTAGCACAGGGCGGCTGCCTCTGTGCTCCAGCAATCATGCTGGGAGGTCTGCAGCACCATTACATGCTATTATTACTTTCTGGATAATGTATACATTTTCTCTATAACAATTTTTTCTCCTTCATTTTTCATAAGAGCTGGCACTAGATTAATGGTTAAGCCATAGAAGAAAGGTAACGCCATGCCAGTCTGATTTATTGACCACTTAGTGCTGATGAAGCTGCAAACTAGAGTCAGACAGATGTTACAGTGGCATTTTTCTTTTTCAAAACTAGCAGCTTTTTGTGTTTTTAACCATTTCTTGCACTGACTTCTGCCTGTCCTACAATGCTAGGAGTACTGGGACAAGTCCTTCCATGACCCTAAGGAGAACCTCCTCAGGACAGGATGCCTTGGGGCTCAGCGTGCCAAGCAGACTTGCCCAGTTTGGGGACAGATGGCCACAACTTTGCTTCTGACTTGAGGGAAGCCAAGTAGCTCTGTTGAGGCTGTTTGAATGAAATCACTGACAGCTTTCTGACGGGCACGTTCCCAGCCTGCAGTGTCTGTCTGAGGGCTCCCTGCAAGGCTTCCCTTCCGCCCAGCTGCAAGGTTTCTGAGATGCACATCCAACGTGCTGGCATGTTTCCTGTATGGCAGTTGCCTTCACTATGGACAGAGCAGGTTTGGTGCACCCAGAGCAAGCCAGTTCAATAGGGGCAAGTGAGAGGCTCGACTCAGAGCAAAGTTATGACAGTAAGATGTCTCATCAGTTTCTGACTTACAGGCGTGTGCACACAGGCAAATATGGGGGCTGCGTATCGTGAAAACCACAATCCATAGCATCATAGGATGGTTTATGTTGGAAGGAACTTTAAAGATCATCCAGTTCCAACTCCCTGCCATGGGCACCAGACCAGACCCCATCCAGCCTGGCCATGAGCACCTCCAGGGATGGTAACAGGAACGTGTTGAGTTTTCTGATGAGAGTTTTCAAAAATGTGTATTCTCTTAATTTCTGTCAGAACACTTTAGTTTACTGCGTAGAACGGCATTTGAGACGGCCTTGCTGTGCCAACCTTGCAGTCAAGTTTTAGATATAGACACTGTGAACAAACCTGTTGGCTCTGTGTTTATTTTATATGCTTTTAATGTCCTGTTATACAAAGTCTAGTGCCAACCCACTGCTGCAGCAGGTTGGGAAGCTCTGCCCCTGAACTGGTGATGAAAACTCCCTCTCACCTGAAATAAGGCTGGCTGCAATGCGTCCTTCTGCTCTTCTTCACAACTTCCCTGAGTGCAAAGAGATGTCTTTCCATGAAATCTCTGAAGCATATTACCTTTTATTACTTCATCATCTAAGTCACTAATTAAGTTAAATTAGCTGACGGAGACTATTTGGGTGTATAGGTAATGGTTTTTATTATCTGGATCTTTTCTGAATTGCACATGAGGACAGTTGTGTGCTGAGGCTTCTTACTGTGCTCCAGTGCTGCTCAGGCTCCCCTTGGCCGGGTGCCTCCACGTTGAGCTCCATCTCTGTGGGTTTCAGAACGGAGTGCTCCCATCAGCTCACCTCTGCAAGCAAATGATGGATCGAGTTCCCAGTGCTGCTCAGAATGGGGCTCTAACATAATTAATGAAACATTAGAGTTTTAATTACAGCATTATCCTATTTATTTTTATAAATAATTCCAAAGCAGTCATTTAAGTTTGTGAACTTAGGAGTAAATGACTTAAGGGAAAGAAATCAGCTTCTCAATCTCATTATTATCTATTGCACAGCATCCCAGGGATGCTGTTGGGAAGCTGGCTGAGCTGTGTCTGTAGATGTGATGATGGTTTATTTACAGGCACTGTGGTCACGCGGTGCTGAGCTCCTGCTGGAATCTCCCCTCTCAGTGGGACGGCGCTGCAGAGCATCAGAGCAGCACTGCGTTTCCTTTCTCTCCCTCAGCTCCTGTAAGAAGTGCATTGGGAAGGAGAGTGGAGCATTAAAGAACTTGTGGGAGGAACCACCCTGCACTGGCCCCAGCATTAGTTTGCAGCAGTGCTACTAAAGACACCGTCCCCTCCAGTCCCAACCTTCTGCAAATTGCTGTTTTCATCGCAAACCTGCAAATTCTTCAAAAGACAAGGAATTACAGGCTGGTCTGAGAAGGACCTTGGGGGCACTCTGCCATACTGTAGCCCCTTTAGCCAACCTCTTCCCTCCCTCTTTCTGCAGCTGTTCTAAGAAATGTGGCTCTTACTGATGCTTACAGGTGAACTTCCACGTATCTGAAATAATCTGATGTGGACTGAAACTTTTTCCGTATCTTTTGCAAGAACAGCTGTGATCTCAAGGGAACCTGGTACATCATGCAGTCTAACCATGATGCTCTCTGTCCTCATTTTCATTGGGAAAGCAAGTCCAGAGAGCACCAAGTCAGGTAGAGGTCCAACTATGTAACCTGTGTTCTCTGCTCTCCCTGTAGAACCCAGACATCGTGTTGGTGCACTACCTGAATGTTCCTGCCATTGAGGACTGTGGAAAACCCTGCGGCCCTATCTTGTGCTCAATAAATACAGACAAGAAAGAATGGGCAAAATGGACAAAAGAGGAACTCATTGGACAGCTCAAACCCATGTGTGAGTATCTGGGTTATATTTTTCTTCTCCTTGGATGATTAATTTAGAGTACAGTGCCTCTCCCTGCCACTGACCTCTCTGAAGGAGTTATTTGTCACCATCAAATCCGACTTGCATCTGCATGCACTTTCTTCCTCATGTATTTTATCCATGTATCAGCTGTCAATTCTTTCCGCATCAAAGTTTTTACTGAGCACCCATTTACGTTCTATGAGAGCTGCCTAGACTGTCCCAAAAGGGATTATGGTTAAGCTCCCCTCAGCACACTCCATGCTATGGAAGAAGTATACCTGCAGTCTCATGTTTTTTACATGCCACTTCTAGGTATCTACTCACTCTCAAAGGGCCTTTGCTACAGTATCAGCAAGTAGGGGTCCCTGAAGGGCCCTCTGTGTTTGTGTTTTCTATGTCAGATCAGAATTGGTTGCTGCCATTTATAGGAGGGCTCTGTGGAGCTGAGTATCTTTATCAGCAAGGTGTACCTGCTGTGAGATGCCTTTCAAGTGCCAACTGTCAAAGGGAAATTCCTGTTGAAGTAAATCTACTTCCTATCCACACAACAAAACTGGAGTCAGATGGTTTGGTGATGCAGAACTTCCTTGCAGTCACCCACAGGATGAGTGTTATACTGTCCAGCTCCCCTGTTCAATGTGGTTTGAAGCTCAAGCTTGTTCTTGAAAGCCCACTTATAGATTTCAGGAATTTCTCCAAATCCCATCTGAAAAAGTAGTGGATAGGATGTATTTCAGGATGGATATCATTCACCATTGTTCTAAACTCTGCAGTGTAAATTAAGGCTGCTAAGGTGTGTAAGGAAATGTGTCCTGCACACTGCAACTCTGTGCACCTCATGCATCCACCTTGAAGCACAGTATTTTTTAAACATCAATGATATTGTATGGATATATTTTCCCTTGGAAAATATGTCTGAAAATGGATGTGGAGTTGTGCAATGAAAGATAGACTAGGCATAAAGGGAGGTCTCTAATCAAGAGAGCATTAATTGTCGGAGCTGCAGTACCAAATCTAGGTGCTTAATGTGAAGCAACAGTACCAAGTCTGCTTCTGTCCCGCACCCCTTCCCCAGCAGAAATTGGTTTCGTGTCCACTGCTGTAAATGCCACTCGCCTCACCAACCAATTTCACTTTCTCATAGATGCCCGAGGTACAGAAGCAAGGTAATTTCCTCGTGCAAACAAAACCCCATTTCTTTTTTTGCTCCCCTGTATTTCTTTTCCATGAAAAGTTGAAGTAGAGAAAGCAAGCAGGAAAGAAGGAAAGGAAAAAAAAAAAAAAAAAAAAGCAAAAAGCAAAAAACCAACACATCTGCTAAACAGAATATTGCCCTGGGACAGATAAAGCTTAGACAGAAATCCAAGATGTTGAAAGGATAGCTGAGACTGAACAAGAGCCTCAACATTAAACAGGAGGGGAAGCAGCAGCCTGTTTGGGGGAGAGGAAAAAAAAAAAAAAAAAAAAAAGCTTGTATTGCATCAAGAAAATTATGTGAAAACTACAGCGAACTAGCTGTAAATTTAATAACACTTGGCTTTTTTTATGTCTCAGGAAGGAAGAGTGAAATTCTGCACAATTATTCAGAGTATGTATGCAAGTACACGTCTCTGCTTATGGATACGTATCCAGGGAAGCACATCCTTGGAAATGCAGCTACTATAAAAGCATTATATTCTGATCAGACTTAGAGAGGACACACATAACCATGTTCAGGGAACATGGAGGGACACGTTTGCCAAGAAGCCATTGGATTTCTTTCCACTATTGGGTGTGCCATGAAATTAAGGAGGCAAGCATATTGGTTTCATTGCATTTCCACATCAGTCACATTCTTTCAAAGAGTTCAGTTTGATTGCCTGATGTTTCCAAATTTCTCTGCCTTAAAGCTCATCTGTCAGTGACCTTGTGACTTCCTTTCCTTCCCATGTTGTGTCTCAGTTTCATTCCCCCAGACTTTGAAGTTGTGTGAGATCTCCTGTTGATTTGTTTTCTTAAGAGTTTCACATTCAGTACACCGTAGTGATGGAGAAGCCAGGCTGTGCTCAAAGCGCTGAGGCTCAGCGCTGTATCTGCAGGGAGATTTTTGTATCCTGATTCAGACAATGAACGTCCCAGAATTAGGAGATGCTGATGCTAGGTCTGCCTTTAGGCACAGTGCTTCTTCCTCATCCAAGGTCAGGGACAGCATTCAGTTCTTATTTTGGGAGGCACCCTTCAGGACGTTTGTGCAAAATGAATAGTTGACATTCTGTGGGAGCTTTGAGTCATTCAGTGTGCCTGATAGGAGGAGTGAGCCTCAATGTGGGACTGCTTTCCTGTTTTCCTCTTCTCTTGTGCCCTGCTGTAGTCTTGCTTTGAGATTTCTCTGAACAGATCAGCAGATGTCCTTTCAGGCATCTGGTGGTAAAAGCCAAATGCAGAGTTCAGCACAGCTGAATTCAGTATATAAACTCCATGTGATCAGCAGGTTGTTGGCCAGCTGATACTGAGGCTTCTCCAAATCATCCCCTTCTGCCTTTCACGTCCCTCAGCTGGCAAAGTGTGTTACAGACTTGCAGCCAATGCTACCTTGCCATCCTCATTTCACATCTGCTATTGTAAGACCTGTCTTTCCCTCCTCCCCCCGCCCCCCCCCCCCAAAAAAAAAAAACAACTTTTTTCATTTCTCTGCTGCTTGCAAACGGATCGCTCCTGGACTGCACACAACCACAGCTGAGGCAGTGGAGGTTCCTTGTGGTACTGGTTGAACTTCAATGCCTTTGGGCATTTCACATCTCACATCCTCAGAGGCTGTCCTGCATGCATCAATGAAGCAGCAGAGACTCACGGAGGTGACCTGAAGCTGCATCCCTGCTGCAAATGGGAGGGAGGGCACTGAGCCCAGTGTGGGGTTTGACAAGTGATAATGGGCACAGAGGTGATGTGAAGAATTGAGTTGTTGGGTTCTTGTTGCGTGGTTGTTTTTTTTCTAGGCTGACTTAAATTTATATTCAATTTCATTAGCAGCTTAGGATCATTTACACTTAAAAGATTAATTGTTCTATCAAGGATGATTTCCATCATTTCCCATCCATTTGTCGGAGCTATGAGGTGACCCCCGATGGAAGCTGGAGCTTCCGTGACCTCTTTACCAAACACTGCTTCTCCCAGAGCGGGTTTTACCAACAGAGCTGGAGATCCGCGTGGAGAAGCCGAAGAATCCTCAAATGTGACGCGGACGGAGGAGCCCCATGTGCGCCTCGGCGCCTCCCGTGGGCCGGGCCAACCCGTTCCTTGTCGCGTGCTGCCACCTGGCGGCCGGCGGGAGCGCTGCAGCTCCGCGCGGGGAGCAGCCCGGAACTTGAGGCGGCTGCGTGTGAAAATTTGCGTGTGCGAATGTCGGTGTGAGGGCGGGCAGAGCGGCGGCCCGGCGGTTCTCTCTGGAGGTAACAGAACCGCGTGGGCGAAACGTGGCGGGTGGCAGCCCGGCCCACGGCGGAGGGGTTGGAACTTGGTGACCTCTGAGGTTCTGTGATTCTGTGCCGCCTCCCATTAGCTGTTAAATATCCGCATGTGAGCAGGCGTTCGAGGAGGGGTTTCATTCTATTGGAAGGACTATAAGGCACAGCTAAGAGTGAACCTGTGCAGAGACGGGCAAATTCAGTGAGCAGTGTTAAGAAATGGGAAACACGAGTTCACCTGCATCCCCAGCAGCGAGGCTCAGGAAATCTTGCTGTGCAAGCAATGAAGGGGGAAGAGGAGGGCTGGAAAATCAAAGCAGAATTGTATGTGGGTGTCCAGAAGAGGTAAATCTAATGAAATAAATCTGATGAAATGTTGACCTGCTCCACGCAGGCAGCAGTATCGTTATTCAAAAAACAAGTGGCAGACCCTTGTTATCAAAAAGAGGCGAAGGATCAGCAGCTGAGCTGTAGGGAACGGAGAGCGGCGTGGACAGCATGGAGACCATGAGAAACACTGAGTAAAGGATAGGATATTCCCAAGAAGACTCATTGTTTGGAGAACTTCTTTGTGAATATTACTGATAGGTTTAGGAAGATCAAAAGCTTTGGCTTCTGCTTGATTCTTGCGGTAGGCAAACGATGGAACTTTGTTACAGTGGAAGGAACTGAAAATAACAGGCATGGCACTGTAGATATCCAGCCATAAAACTGTCTGTTGCTTTTCAGCTTCCAGCTCACAGCTTGATTCAGGTCCAGCAGGGAACCATCATGAATACACAAACCACGAGATACAATCACTGGTCAGATTTGCTCTCTTTAACGCAGTGCTCATCACTGGATTTAGTCATAGTGGGAAGCAGGCTCTGATACACTGCTGTGAAACAGAACTTCTGTATGCAGCAGTCTGAGCTTCTGCAGCAAATAATTTCTGAAGTAACCAGAGATAACACTGCTAAGTTTCTCAGTAGCAATTACAGTTCAGTAACTTTATATAACCAAAAACTTTAGTGCAGTTTAATCTCATTTTCAGTGTTTTTATTATTATTTTTTTTTTTTTACAAAGCTGCTGTTTGAACATTTCTTGTTAAGCTTAACATCACATGTGACAGAATAATGTATTGAGAATAATAAAATGGATGTGAGTGCAGGAACTGGAGCAGGAAGCATGTGTGAACTGAACCTTCCACGTCATAACAGACACTGAGCCTTAGGAGGAAAGGCAAAATGTGAGCGTGCTATAAAGCAAAATCTGGTGGGTACAATAACGATAAAAGTGGTTGTCAAGCAAGCATAGAGGGACTCATTACTAAACCAAGTGCAACACTTTAAATAGTGATAGGAGGAAAAATACTTGTAAACCTTATTTACAGCATTTCTGCAAGTTTCTCATCTCAGCCAATAAAAATGCAAACTCTGATATAGAACTGGAGTGAGGTGAGATGCTGTGAGGCAGTGTAACATCAGTGGGTGATGAGGAAGTGTAACAACAGATGATTAAAAAGGCAGACCTAGGAACCCTGTCCCACTGGCTGCTCATGACATACGGAAGGGCCCAGGAGAAGAATAGGACATTTCACATGCCATCTTTACTCTGGCAGTGTTCTCAATAAGTGTTGTGAACAGGCCCTCGTTTTCTTCTGACTTTTTTGCATGAAGCAATTTGCTGAAGGGGAGCCTGCGGGTCTTCCTGGCTGTGAGGTGAGGCTCAGCCCTGCATGCTGTCAGCATTCCATGCTATCGATTTGTGGATGTCACTGTGCAGGGATCTGTGAGTTGAGAGGTGAAGTCAGTGGGACTCAACTTTGGCAGGGCTTTCTGGCTTAGTGTTTTAGATTTTAGAAGAAATCTGCTTTTCCAGAGTATGACAAAGGCATTGGAAAAAAAAGCTTTTCAAGCCTAACCTGTCAGGAAAGGAACGCCATGAGAACTGTGCTGCCAACAGCCAGCACGTGGCAAGGTGTTCGCTGAGCCCTACTGCACATGCAGGGTGTGCACGCAGTGTGCCCCTAACATTGCTTAGAGAAAGACAAAATAAGGGTGTAAAGTGTTCCTTACAATGCATTGCTTTACTTCAATGAAGCACAAGTACTCTATTGTTGCTTCTGGATTTTTTAATGCATTTGGGAAGTCTTGGATAGGAAACCAAGAAAGTGGTAAACCAATAACCATTGCTGTTGCTTTACATAGGTCTCATCAGCTCTGAGTAAAATCAGCAGGAGAGGCTTTCTGCTCTTCTTTTGGGATGACTTCTGATGTTTCCTGGTGTGTTTTTGAAGTTCCTGATGAGTTTTTCTGTTCCCTTTCCAGTTCATGGTATTAAGTGGACGTGCAGCAATGGAAACAGCAGTTCAGGGTTCTCAGTGGAGCAGCTGGTGCAGCAGATCCTCGATAGTCACCAGACCAAACCGCAGCCTCGGACACACAACTGTCTCTGCACTGGTACCTTGGGTGAGTGCCACGGGAGGGCAGGACGTGCTTGCAGCTTAACGCAGGCTTGGAATGGGTTTTGCAGCACAAAAATGCTGTATTGTGAAATGTTGAGACCCAATGAGTGTAGAGGCAATAGAAGATTTAAGAAAAAAAAAAAATGCATCTGGAATTTCTGTTTTAAAAAAAAAAAAAAAAAAAAAAAAACCACCACAAAACCAACAGCAAACACTTTGTGCTGTGCCCTCTGTGTGTGATTTGCTTAGAAAGGTGCGTTCTCTTCTGCATGCTTCAGAATTTATTGTTCTGACAACATTACCCTCAGAAACTGTTGCCCTGCAGCCTGCTTTGCTGGAGAAGGGCTCAGGTGGTTACTTACAAGGCTGCACTGGAATAAGACAGGTTTTATTTAATTACCATGAAGACATGAGAGATTTCTCTCCTGTTAAAAAAGATGGGTTTGTTTGGAGACTAGAATGGCAGGAAGCAGCATCCTGAGTGTTAGAGCTTTGCACAGCAAGTAGGAAGAAGAATTTTTCTTTTTTCCATCTCATCTGCTCTATAGCCAGTCCTTCCTACTACTTTGGTCAAGTAAAATATATCATATACTAATTAGTCTTCAGAGAAATTTATAAAGGAAAGCTGTCTGTGCTTCAAAGGGTTTATTTTTTTCTGCTTTTCTGGGCAGTTGTGTTATACAATTGAGGTTTTTAAGTAAGAATGATGACCTCTGAAATACCTGGGTTTGGATTAAAATTCAAGCCTGAAGGCTCAGCATTTGATCCAGGTTTGCAGATCTGAACACGAATCCTTTTATGCTTCCCTTTGATGTTTTGTCTTGTGCTAAGTCTGCCGCCTGGTTTTTAACATAACAGTATCACTTTGTTTTGCAAAGGCTGGCACATTGACACACACATCCCCAGTTCTTTGCAGTCATAGGCAAAGACTGCAGAGTGAAAGCTTCTCATGTTCCTGTTGGTCTCTATACCTAGGAGAATAGAGAGATTTAATACTGCATTTAGTCTGTCCTGAACTACTTTGAGTGACCTGATTCAAATCTTGAGTGCATAAAAGAAAAGTTCCCCTTCAAGGGCAAGGAACAAAAGGGTTGGCAAATTAGAGCGCCTATGCGGACACTTTGTGTTGCCTAGAAGATGGCATTCATAATTGTAGCCATTAGCTACAGGGAGCTTCTTTTCCCCATTAGTCATTGTACAGTACAATAGTTGTTGTTCTTACCTCATTCTAGGGAAAATGAACCGTTAAAGAAGCACACCTCAATGGCTGGGCTGTTCTTTAAGCAACAAATGCCATTCTTGCACTGGAGTTTGTGGATAGGACACTTTCCAGAAAGAACAGTTTACCTCAGACTGCCCGATTTCCGCATTTGCAGAACAGGGCCTGCAAGGCAGAAACTGTCTGCCGTAGCTGACAGACTTACTTTGCAGACTTTGCCCATGTTAAATAACTGAAATTTGGCACAGATGCTGATTCCTTTCCTCTTTATTTGTTATCAGGGCAGAAAGAAGTAAGGTGAGGGTAGGTGCTATGTGTGGTGAAGCTAAGTGTGCACGTGTTCCTGTTCCGAGGTTTGTCGTTGTGCACAATGGATCTATGTGTCAGATGGAGGGGAAGCTGTACACGTGGCATGAGCAAGAAATCACTTCCACGGTGCCACTTGCTCTCTCCATCCCTCACACAAGCACCTAAGCATGGCTTTCCTTTACTACAGCCGTAAGACAGGCAACCAGCATGGGTTTAATTTTGTGCTTACTGAACCACCAATGTTGTTTTCTGGCACAGGGGCAGGAAGCAGTGTGCATCACAAGTGTAACAGTGCCAAACACCGCATCATATCACCAAAGGTCGAACCAAGGACAGGTGGGTACAGCACTCATTCAGAGGTACAAAATAACGATGTCTCTGAAGGCAAGAACGAGCACAGTCATGGCAAGGCCTCCAGCCGGGAGAAGAGGAATGGCAAAGTGGCAAAACCGGTGTTGCTCCATCAAAACAGTACCGAGGTTTCTTCCACCAACCAGGTTGAAGTCCCTGACACAACCCAGAATTCTCCTGTGTCCATCAGCAGTGGATTAAATAGCGATCCAGATATGGCGGATAGCCCAGCAGTCACTGGTGTGTCCAGCATGGCTGTAGCATCAGTTATGGGAAGCCTGTCACAAAGTGCCACAGTGTTTATGTCAGAAGTCACCAGTGAGGCTGTGTACACCATGTCACCCACCTCCGGCCCGAATCAACACCTTCTGTCCTCAGATGCGGCTGCACAAGGGCTGGTACTTGCTGTGAGTTCTGATGGACACAAATTTGCTTTTCCAACAACAGCCAGTTCAGAGAGCTTGTCCATGCTACCCAGCACCGTCTCCGAGGAACTTGTGCTCTCCACAACTTTAGATGGAAATAGAAAAATTCCAGAAACCACCATGAATTTTGACCCAGACTGTTTTCTTAATAACCCCAAGCAAGGGCAGACTTATGGTGGAGGGGGTATGAAAGGTGACAGCATCAGTACCAACATAAGGCAGTCACCCACCGCAGAACGTAGCTTCAACTTCAGTACAACCCTCACGAAGGAAATCAAAACGGAGGACACGTCTTTTGAACAACAGATGTCCAAAGAAGCATTTTCCTCCACTTCTGCATCTAACACTCTCACCCTCACTACTGGTTCAGGTTTGCTTCCATCTGGAGGGGGTCTGAGCCCAAGTACCACCTTGGAGCAGATGGACTTCAGTGCCATTGACTCCAACAAGGACTATTCTTCTAGCTTCAATCAGACCGTTCAGAGCCCTCACGTTCATCAGACCCCTTCCCCCAGCTTCTTTCTGCAGGATGCCAGCAAACCTCTTCCCCTTGAGCAAAACACCCACAACAACCTGAATGACACAAGTGGCTCATTTGTGAATACAATAGGAATCCCCAGTGTGAAAACAGAGTCCCCATCCCAAACCACTTCCAACTGCAATGGCACGGTGGAAACCAGAATAGAGTCCACCTCTTCTCTCCAGCTCATGCAGTTCCAAGCAAATTTCCAGGCTATGACTGCAGAAGCTGAAGTTCCCATGGAGACCTCCCAGCAGGCAGAAGGGAATGAAAATCTACTTAAATCAGGGGATCTTCAAGCCTGCAGCACAGAACACTACTTGCAACCTGAGACCAATGGAGGTATCAGGAATGGGAACAATCTCCCTATTCTCCAAGGAAACATGGTACAAGGACTCTATCCTGTGGCCCATCCCAGCTTAAATAACTCCTCCAACATGGAGCTTAACTTGGACCACTTTGACATCTCCTTCAGCAACCAGTTTTCTGATCTAATTAATGATTTCATATCTGTGGAAGGTGGGAGCAATGCCCTCTATGGACACCAGTTGGTGTCAGGTGACAGTGCCGGACTCTCTCAGCCTGAAGACAGTAACAGAACAACCTACAACCAGGCTGAAATGTGCATTCCTTGCTGCAGTCCTCAGCAAGCCAACATGCAGCTCAGCAGCACAGAGAATGGAGCCAGCACGATGGCATACATGCATGTGGCTGAGGTGGTCTCGGCAGCTGCAGCACAAGGCACTTTGGGGTTGCTACAGCAGAGTGGGCGCTTGTTCATGGTGACAGATTATTCACCAGAATGGTCTTACCCTGAGGTAAGTCAGGGCTTTTAGTCCTTAACCTTTACTGCCTTATCCTTACTTGCTTTGTTAATAGCAGCTCCAATAACTGTTTTGTTAAAGCTTTGACAAGGTTTTAAACACATTTATCTTAGAAGAAAGAGCATCCGAGGCCATTTGCATGTCTCAGTGTACTTTTAATTAAGCACTCTGTCACCCTGACAGGGCCTTTTCTTCACCTAGAAACGTCTGAACAGAAATGTTTTGTTTCATTGAAAGGCCAAGTATTCCCGTGCACTACTGTGTACAGCCTTACTGCACTGAACTGCGTGTGATGGATCTTGCTAATGATGCAAAGTAGTATTTATCCTATGTCAGGTGTATGTCCTGGCACAGCTCTGCAGTCTGTTCCTTCCTGCTCACGTGTGTGAGAAGAGGAGCACTCCCATCACGGCATGGTGAATGTCCTGGTGGTGCCCAGCTCCACGCTGAGCCTCAGGGAGGAGGCACAAGGACTGTGGGAGGAACTCAACCGTACTTCTGCAGATCTGTGCTGGATGCAGCTGGTGCCTTTCCCACCAGCAGGAGAGGCGGATGCCAAAGCCTTGCACTGTGTGGCTGACACAGCACTACTGAGACCCATGTCAGGGCAGGGAGAGAGATCTAGGACAGGTTCCAGTTGCTAAAGTTGGGGTTGAAGGACCCCCTCGTACCCCTGCTTTGCACAGCCCCTTCAGGGACACCCCTTGTGACCATGCTTCCTTTTTTAACCAATTTCTCAATACCCAGTAAAGTGCAAGGTGTATCACTGCCAGCAGGAGGAGGGAACAGAGCAAGTGAAGAGAAACAGAGATGCTCTGTTATGGAATGCTGTTTGCATTTCCCCTATAGTGTAAGGTTTGGTGGCCAGAGAAGGGCACCACGAGGTGTCCCAAAGGCTGCAGCTGCAGCAGCTGTGAGCAGAGCAGTCCTGGCAGGGCAGGTGGATGGAGGTACTCAGGCTCTGCAGAGCGCTGGGATGTTGCTGGCTACTGGTGCCAAAGATCTGTATCTGCCCTCATGAGTTTGTTTGCGGTTTAACCATTTTGGTGCATGGTCCTCTCTGGATAGGGCTTTCTTCATGATGCTCCCTTTTTTTCCCCTCTGCTCACTGTAGGGAGGAGTGAAAGTTCTAATCACTGGTCCATGGCAAGAAGCCAGCAATAATTACAGCTGTCTGTTTGATCAGATCTCAGTGCCTGCATCTTTAATTCAGCCAGGAGTACTGCGCTGCTACTGCCCAGGTAAGGAATGGCTCTCCTACAGCTGGTGGCTTCAGAGGAAGTTCTTGACTTTCAATACATGCAGAATAACTGATCCTTGCTTGCTACTTGAAATGCTGTGAAGTTGGTTAATTTTGGAGCACATGGGATCCTACCTCATGCCAAAAGAACCTATTGTATGGCTCCTAAATGTGTTTTAAAGCCTGCCTGTTTTAAAATGCAGATTGACATTTTGGACTCTTCAGTTGTATAGTCACAAAAATATTGCTGAGTGCACCCTCTGCTCTCGTTTCATCTGCTGCCAGGCTGCCCGTGGGGAGTTCACCGACAGCGTTGTACTTTGGCATTTCTGCAGGGAGGTCACTGTCTCACCACTCGTTCTTCTCTTTTAGCTCATGACACTGGGCTCGTGACTTTGCAAGTTGCCTTCAACAATCAGATCATCTCCAATTCTGTGGTGTTTGAATACAAAGCCAGAGCTCTGCCAACCCTGCCTTCCTCCCAGCATGACTGGCTGTCTTTGGATGGTAAGAAGTGCATGATATTCTTTAGCTAAGCTCACCAAATGGTAGAACTGTGAATGAAAGGAGCAGCCCCTGGTATGGGAGAGGGACGCAGGGGGCTGAGGCTGAGTCGTGGGGAAGGTCTGTTACTCAGCACTCCATTAATCAAAGCCCTCTTCCTGTTGACAGAAAAAAACATGAGTTATCAGAACAGAACTCTGTTAGCTTGATGTCAGCACTGAGGGATGGGAATGTGGGCTTGAGATTTATGTGATAGCTGTGCTTGCAAGTGTTACATTTGGGCACACCCCTGAAACACATTTTGTAGAGGAGAGATGGGAAGAAAGATAGTAGAAGAGCATGGGAGCCTGGAACAGCGGGCTGGAGGAACTGAATATCCCCACTTACCTGTGCCCACTGGTGCTCCTTCTAAAAGCTATTGGAGAAAATGAGAAGTCAGTACAGCCTGCAAGGAGGCAACAGATCTGCTGGCTGGTCTGTTATTTCTGTCCTACTGCATGAAATTCATTGATTTTCTTTGAGAAGTCGCCAAGGTGACAATTTGAACAAGATGGGCAGGGCCTTCATTTCCCTTCCTGAGTGTGATTGCTGGAGCAGCTTCCAACTCAGAGCAAGGAGATCTAAGGAAAAGAGCTGGTTTGTCTTAACAGACATGATAGGATGGAAAAGAACAAGCAATACTGCTTTTGTCTTTTTGCACCAGAGAGTCAACTGCTGCAGTGCTGCATTTTATGCACTCTTAGCAAAGTCCTTACATGTTCGTATTAGGTGACCCATTTGTTAAGTGCCTGCTTTCTCTGCTCTGTACAGGAGACAAATATGGTAGGGTCAGATCCGAAGTCTTCGGAGATTTCATTGCTGAGAAACTAACATTAGTGCTGCAAAGTGTTATACGAAAGAAATCACAGGAGCCGTTGTTTGCACTGGGCCGTACTGAAGACGAGCAGTAATGAGCTAATACACTGATTCTGTTTGTTGCTCAGTCAATTAACCTCATCTAATTTTGTCTGTGAGCTGCCAATGTAGTAACTGCAGTTCAGTCACAGAATCGTCACAGAATTGCATGCTCTGGGAAATCTGCTGTGGATGTATTACTTTGATAGGAGCTTGACTTCAAAACATTGCTGTAATCACAAAGATTTGAAACGTGTGTTACTGTGTTATTATTGCTGCACATACTTTGACAGACTCAGCAGATATGTAGAACTGATTGACGCCAAGGGGAGAAATACTGAATAGTTTTAAGCTTAATGCAGGCCAGCAGTGTGCAAATGTCGTCAGGCGGTGTTTGAAGGGATTTTGGTGGGCTCCTTCCTTCTGTCTGGGAAGCCTAGGCAGAAGAAGCTGCTCTCATTCAGACATCAGTTAGATGCTTCCTGTGTGCCGGCAGCAGCTGTGAGTCTGGGGCCATCACAGCCCCTGCTCGTCGGTGTGTGTGGATCATCGTGCGATCTCTCCAGCGCGGCGTGCAAAGGGGCTGCATCTTAAAGCTCTTCTTTGGTCCTTTCCTCAGTGCTGGTGGTTTGGAGGAGCTGCAGAAGGTGGCTGAGTGCTGCCTGCTTGTGTTGTCTGTGTGCTGGGGAGCGGGCAGGCTTTCCATGAGTGCTGTGATGTGGTGGAAGGGAGGGGGACTGCAGCAGTGAACAAAGTAGGGCATTGCTAACGGGGGGGGGGGGGGGGGGCGCTGCAATGCAGAGGCCCTTCAGGGAAAAAGACTGAATAGTTCTATGAACCATGAGCTATCAGAAGGCTCTGTCGTGGTGCACAGTGCTCTGAAAGCAGCAAATGATATTCTTTTTAATGGACAAGCAACATCTTTGCTTTTATTCTGAGAGTACAGATGTTAGTTCAGCTATAAGCTAATGTGAATTGATTCTACCAGTAGAATAAACACACAAATCCTCATCTTCTCTGTTTGCTCCTAATTGCACTGCATTAAATCCTTGTACTACTGCCGGTTCTGTCGTCTCGAGGGAAGGATGCTAAGGACTCTCCGCAGTCCCAAAATACAGACCAGGATTTTATTATCCTTTCTACTTAATCCGAAGGAACGCTCTGAGTTCCTTTGTGTTTGAATATTTCAGCTATGTGAGCACTGCAGGGTTAACAAACTCCACCGTACTGCAGAAATGGTGTCATCCCCAAATCCCTTTAAAATGAAGACAAAGACATGCTATGTAGGGGAGGTGTGCGCTGAGGTGACAGTAAATCAGCTGTCTTTTCTCAGCTCTGCAGATACCCGGAATGCTTTATCTTCAGCTTCTCTTCTTCAGGAGGAATCACAGCTCTGGAGAAGTTTCCAAGTTTCCAGCAGCAGGAAAAAAAGGAGCATGAAGGGATCTGTCTGCTCACTGGCGTGCATTGGTGCTCCTCCTGCCCCAAGCAGTGCCAGCAGATCCCCCTGTGCCCACACAGCACCTTAGTATGATCTGCTGCTGCTGCTTCCTCTTGTTTGCTGTTGGTAGAGAAGCGCTCTCAAGACAAATGAAAAGCAAACAAAACCCTTCTGACCTGAAGGGCAGAAATGAGAAAGGCTTTTTAGTACAGGCTTTCAGTGTGTTTGCTTCCCACTGCAGAATTTGCTGCTTTCAAAAGGCACTTGTAGAGACGGCGTTTGCTTGGCATGGGGTGTGATGGGGCATTTAGAGGGGGCCACTATGAGTTGCTCCTTGGGGCTGTGCTTATTATGCACCTGCAGGAAGGAAGTTGTGAAGGAATAAGTTAAATTGTCAAGGAGAATGTAAAAGTCTGGGTGGGGAACTGAGGGAGCTGAGGGTTTGGGTGTGCATAGGATGGGCAGAGCTGTGGTGGGAACTAAATGGCACTGATAGGAGGGAGCATGACAGGCAGCTCTCCCAGCCCGCTGGTGCTCAGTGAGCTCTGGCTGCCTTTCCCGGGTGGAAGATGCAGAAGTGTGGTGGCTTGGTGCTGTTGGTGTGACAACGGATGTATGCATGGCACCCAGGCAGCCCCCAGGCTGTGTGTGCGGAGCTGGTGGCGTCTTGTTCACCTGGACCTGATGCCTGTTTCTAGCATGGGAGTGTGTGAGATGGAGACGAGACTACCTTGCAGGCACCGTGTGCTCATACTGGTGAGGTCTGAAGATGCATGGAGGCTTTATCTGTTCCGTATTTTCATTGAGACTTGCATTTTTGGTCCCTTTACGTACAGCCAGGCAGCTCCCATACACCTGTTTCTGAAGGCTGCGTTCTGTTGCTCCGACTGCGTTTCACAGACTCTGTTTTCTGCTTCGCTGCGGTGGAGGCGTGGAGACGGGAGCGCTGCGGTTGCTGCCCGTCCCGAGGCTCCGACCGCTTGCCGGCGGACGCGCCGCGGTGCCCGGACGGCTCGGGACCGCGGGCCGCACGGCGCTCCTCGGGGATTTCACGCTGGCTTTTAACGACGCAAAGAAACCGTTAACGTTTCTTAGCTCCGCACGTCGGCCTCGGGGCGCCTACGGAGGGATGAGAGCCGCAGTGCCGGAGCTCGGCCGCTCGGCGCCGGCAGCGCCCAGCCCGGTGCTGGCGGTGATGTCACCGGGGCGGGGCGGGGCCCGGCGGTGCCGGGAGCGGCGCGGAGCGGGGCAGGGCAGGGCCGGGCCGCCGCCCGCGCCGCCGCACACAATGGAAGGCGGCGGCCGCAGCCTCCCGCCCGCCGCAGCCCCGGGCCGCCGCTGAGCGCCGCCGCGGGACGGGGCCCGAATCCCGCACCCCGCCATGGCGGCGCCGAGGGGCCCCGGCGTGGGCTGAGGGCGGAGAGCCGCGGGGCGGCGGAC